AGTGGAGAAATTAGAGTTGTCATATACTAAAGTTTTATGTTTTGAGCACAGGAAAATAATTTTTGCCGCAAATATACCCAATGGCAGGCACGCAGCCAGGATTTTGATTCGCCCATGACAAAATACTGTATGAGGGGGAGGGGGGAAAGGAGGCCCCACCAAATGAAAGGTTTGGGAGGAGGGGGGGGGGGTCCCATAATCCCCCCCCCCCCCCCCCCCGTGCAGATACGTGCGTGCCCGATGGGTTCCTTTCTGTCAAATAAACATTTTTTTTAGCTATATAACTTGGGTTAGGCCATGTAGACACCAATTAAATAAAACATTCAGTTAATAAAGTGAATATGAACTCTTTTTTGTCACGTGTTTTAGAATTTCCTGATTACGTACTGTCCTCCGTATTATAAAACATGCGGCTGCCAGTAAAACATAAAGAAAAGACTATGGGGAACGGGAACATTGTGTGTGCACATAGTATGCACAAGATTCATGAATAATTATATATAGGCAAGCCACGAAATTCAGGTATCATCGGAACTCTGCAGTTTTAGCGGTGTATTCTGTCCTTTTGTTTTCCAGGATGTTTTGAGTAACAGTAATAGCGTAAACGATTGCACCAACTGGATTATGTGTTCACATTATACCTTGCTCCGTTTTATTCAGTTTTACCTGGTTTCGGAGTGGAACGTTCTCGTTTTTGTATAAATTTTGCTCCAGAACCGAGCAAATCAGAGTAAAACCGGGTCAAAAACAGAATAACACTGACTCAAAAATCCTATTATCATCTTTCACGATTGGTCCAAAGCTCTCCGACTTCCGACGTCGGGACTTTAAAACTTTGGCGGAGTTGGCGAAAAAATGCGATACTTCAGGCTTCCATTTTGCCATGTGAACGTATCCTGTTTGAGCCCTAGTCGAGGCTACGCGCTCGTTCTGGGGCGGCAGATCACGTGCACATTCTATCGTGGGCATGCTTTTTATTAACAGAAAAGCCGGTAGTGCCGAATAACATCCAATAATTATTAACACCATAGAAGTCATTAAAGAAAAAGCACATAAAATGCGCACAAACACACACACACACACACACACACACACGAAATAAGGATGACCTTCCTGAAATTATGATTGCACCTTGTTTCACGCATAGTAATTGTCAGGCAGCGCTTTCCACTTTGTAGTTGAGCAAGGAAGTTCCTTTTTGAAAGGCATTTTACGCGCTTGTTGGCAGTTTGGGCCTTTAGTTTGGCTTCTGGCTTCCCAATGTTGTAGTTTTCCTTGATGCCGGGAAGAGTGTACACTCCAGCAATGAAGTTTTCGAGATTCAAAAGCCCTTCATTTTGCGTCCAATTAAAATGAAGGCCAGCCGAAACAGGGTACGTCAGACTCATTACATTCGTCTTTGGCAGTAGCCTTTTCGGAAACTTAGACAGGAAATTGGTCTTCAAATCTCCCGTCACTTTCACAATTTTATCACTTGTGTCTTCACTAACTGGCCCAGTACTGTGACCGCTTTTGGTTTCATTGGTACTACTTAGTTCACGGGGAGTTTTTGTCTCACTGTGTTCCGAGACAACCGAGCTTACAGAAACTGCTGTCGGCGACGTCGGTTCTGGTCCCTGGCCTGTTGTAGCATTTTTCAGGACACAACTTCGTCTCAGGACTGTTGTCCTTGGCAAGCCGGGTATACTTAGTGGCTCCAAGCATATTTTTTTGTTTGGGTTCATGGTCGCACAGCGCGACACCCTACGTGTCTCAAATTCAAATTTTAAAATTCGCACCGACGTCGTCCCGCAGCAAATGCAATTTTCTAATTAAAATGACAAATAAAAATCACTCCGTTATAAGTTTAATATATATTCAGTATTTACATTTGACAATTAAATAATACCATAATTTTTAGAAACGTTTATTATTTTCTTAAGTGCATCAGTCACACTTGCGGGCTTGTTGCGGGTTACACCACGTGACAATATAGAGTGAGCTGGAGTCAATAGAGTGAACAGTGGGGTCACCCGCATGCATCCCACGTGCCATATAAAACCAAAATAAGTTTTAAAAGTGCAATTTATGCAAATTTTTTGCTAAATTAAGGTCAATAAGTAAAGTTTTTATGTATTCGTTTACTTCAGCAAACAAAAACAAGAGTTAAAATACGAAGTATTATAGTCACGTGATACCAGGGGGTAAAGGTGGGTGAGGAGGAGTGGCAAATCCCGTGCGCCGACATCCTGGGTCCCGAGTGAACGATCGCAAAAGAGAGCGACAGAACACGAGAGAAAGAAAGCAACGTTGCCATGGTAAACACGAAGAGTGAAAACTCTCAGCAATATAAACAGTGATAATTTAACGTTGTAAACTAAATGTTGAGCTATTCTAACGCTTATAAAAAGCAATAAAGTCATTACGCTGCATTAACTTCCCTTCTGTCGAAATCTCGGAAATCTGGTGGTTGCGCAGTTTCGTATTCCTCAACCGCGCCCAGCCGCGCCTCACCAGCGAAGCCGGGTATATGGTTTAGTTTATCGTTAACGCGAGGCCGTACATCTGCGCGCTATGCAAAAGGAAACCTTCGAAAAGAACGCGAGTATCTTTCCACCGGTAAGTTCGTGGATTGTTGAAGTTCACGAAACTGCTCTGATGATGTAACCGTGTTTTGGACCCCGAGGGTCTGCCTGCATGGTCCGCCGCTTGCGGCAGCCAGAATGTATGGGAAAATGGCGGACCTTTTCCTCTAGATTTAGTCAGAGCCGTATTTAGTATATGATCTCTATGCGTGATACATCCCCTGCGTCAGGAAGTGGTCCGACGTGATAAACCGAACGGTCCGGCCGGAGGACAAGGAAGCGTGGAAGAAGAACCGAAGCTGCCGAAGCAACGTTCGCGGGAAGTCTAACCGCTTGAAGCACGTTGCAGAGTCGAGACCAGTTGAGCGGCCGGAATTTTAAGAACGATTATGCAAGCGTACGTCTTGAGGACGACCATGAGCCACATGTCATCTCAAATAGCTGCCCGTCAAGCCTTGTGACGAAACGGAATCGGACTTCTTCAAGGCGCGGATCCTAAAGTTGTTTGGTAAGTTCTAGTCTCCACACGCGTTGTGCCCAGTCTAGTGACCATCTCCTTTAAGTTAAAAATTGCAGCTTTAAGCACAATATGTGGGAGTAACTCTCGGCGCCGGTTGTTTCAGGATCGCAGAGTGACGCGGAAACCCAGTGACAGTAAGCGCGTAAGCGGGTGCTAGTACCTCCGACGAGATGAGTGACTGCCCGGGAGGGCTGGAGGAAGCTTGTATGAGACAGGTAATTGTAATTTCATTTTCGCGCTTGCGAAGCAATTCATAAGACGTATTTTAAATTTGAGATTTTCTTTAGTTATGCCGCCACAAGTACAAGGAATTTCATTGATAGGGGTGCCGTGTGTTTGTTTTCATATGCCCAGAAACTAGGTAAAGGTTATGTGTTTTAACATTTTTTTCTGTGGTGATAGGCTTAAGGTTAGAATGAATTATATCTGTCAAGGCGTGGCGCAGTCTGTGTCTATTTGGAGAAGAGGTATGTGTGTGTGTGTGCGTGCGTGCGTGTTCGTTTGTTTGTTAGTTCGTTGGGGGAGAGAGAGGAGATGAAGAAGAGGAGGAGCGTGAGGGATCACGTCGAATCATTCAAATCGTTAACTCTGACAGTAATGAGGTAAGAAGGATACCTGCTAGTTACACCGGTTCGGTTTTGTGCCAAACTCAAATTGCGTTTTGCCGGGTAAATATTGCTACAATTTTTTGTTTTCATCAACAAAATTAATTTTGAGGCATGCCGTTGACAAATAGGACCCCTGTTTTCAATCCCAGTCCAGGTTATTCGCGACTCCAGCGAACTATAGATGGCGCGCTGCTCAGGCAAAATTCGGACGAAAGAAGGTCGTTTTCGTTGTTCAGCATGCGGACCATCACAAATTCTTGCACTGCAGCGTAAAATCGGTGTTACATTTGAATGCAAAGCGATTTTTCGACCCTAGAAACGTTCGTCTACTCAGTGCGTAAGAAGGGCCCGGTGGAATCATTAAAATAATTACTGGAAACAATGTTTGTTTCTATGCTGCCTACGAGAACCAAGCAGCGATAGCAGACGACAGAGTCGGGACAACCTCCTCTCCTGAGCTTCTCAGCGCTGCCGCTACGCGGCGTCGATTTCGCTGGAGTCACGAATATTGCGCTGGTAAATTTCCTGTACATAGTGCTGCTTCAAAGATGAACTGAAGTTTATGTCTTCTATGTGTGCATTGGCAATGGCATGTGGCTCAACAAGACTTCACACACGAAAGTTCTCAAATAGAAGAGGGAATCAATGTTCATCCGGTAAGGTTTGGTAATTATCTCCGCCACAGATGGCCTCCTTGGCGAATTGTAACCGGCAGACCTTCAAACCGCACAAAGGCTAAGCAAAGCCACAACTGGATGCAGCAAGACTAAAAGCTTTATAATATACTGTAAGGACTATGGCTTTATAATAAGCCTTTTATAGCAAAACATACCGATCTGAAAAGCGTTGTTTGTGGTTATTTTAAAGTGGTATACGGAAACTTCGTCGTATTGTATTAATTCTGGTTCACTGCACAGTTAAAAGGTTTGTCTTCGTTTGCTGCCAGAGAAATGTAGCTTGCGATGAACTAAATCAAAGTTATGACTGCTGGTGTCAGGCACATATTCAGAACTTTTTTTTATTAAAATAATTGTAATCAAGTGTTTTTATGTGTTTTAGCACTGTGATTAAGATACGTCAATGTGTTTTCTAAAAAAGACTACTAATTTGCAGTTTGTATCTTCTCCTAAAATATTTTGTAGATCTGAGCATGTATTCATACCTGAATATGTGCCAGGCATTCCCCAGTATGTGTATAATTGTTTACTAGGCCTGTAAGCTTCCCCACTACATCATTGCCGCTATGTTAGCGCTTCCCAGCTATTATTCGAGAGAGATAAGTGTTTCTCATGATCAATTAGGTTGAGATTGTTTAGCGTTAATGTTTTTCAGTCCCCCATTTTTAATTCCTGACAGAGCGCCTCAATGTCCGTTTATTTTTGGTTTGCCGCTATTTATCACCACAAGCAAAAACATCACGCCACTGGGATTAACCTGAAACTCACCTCATGATTAACGACGCTGCCGTCCGCTGTCTTAAAGTGGGCCTACGTTCATGGGTACTTGTCTAGTGGTTCTGGAGTTGATGTTGCTGAGATAACCGAGACGCCGATTTCTACGATCGCCTCTGTCAGCATCATGGTCAATTACAGCTGGCCCGAGCCCGAACCAGGCCAATCAACATGCTGGCCCGAGCCCGGCCCGGGCCCACAGTCAAAAGTCCGAGCCCATCCCAGGCCTGGGCTTTCGGGTAAGCCCAAGCCCGTGCCCAGTGGTATAATCTTTAATCCAATCGCCATATTGAGATAAATACGTCAAAATTTCTCAGTTTAAATGTCGGAAGTGCCTCAATAAGAGCAGGTATAAATATTAGTAGCAAATTTAATGATAAAAAAACTGCGCCGACTTTACTCAACGAGATTAACAATTTAATCAAGCGTTTCGTCTCCCATGCGGGGAACATCATCAGTGAAACCTTCAAGCAGGAATGAGCGAAAAAACTTCAACAATCTTACAAGTCCGCATAAACATCGGGGGAGGGGGCCGCGGTTGGAGTTGCAAGCTGATGAGTCACTTCAGATGAACCATGATTCCACCAACCTTCGTGGACCCCACCCTTGTTTACACGCCAAAGTGGACGCATTCTCAAAGTCGAAACTGTGACCCGTATTCCAACAATGGTCTACGAGTTCCGTCTTCGCTGTGTTTGTTTAGGCGAGTGCAGCGCTTCCAGCCTGTCTCCCCAATGTAGGATGTGTCACAGTCTAGACAGTTCACTTTATACACAACACCGCACTGGGACTCTGGGGCGGTGTAATCTTTAGGTTTAGAAATGAAGTCACATAGTTTATGGTGGGGTTTGAAAGCTGTGCGGATATTCAAAGGGGCGAGGGCCCTGCGAATGGACTCAAAGGCACCTCTCAAATAGGATATTGTTGCTTGCCCTGTCCTAAGTTGTCCATTATCCTGACTTCTTTGTCCCATCTGTTTGTGCGTGTTATCAATAAAACATTTCGGATAATTCCGCTTCATCAGCAGGTCAACAATAACAGCATCCTCAGAAGCGCGCAAGCCGCCTCGGTGGCTCCGAGGCGAGAGCGCTGGCCTACGGATCCCCATGTGGCGGAGGCTTATTGCGGAGCAGGCGCCGTGTAACCGAGCTTTCGGTTGCACGTCAAAAGATCCCCAGGTAGTCTAAATTAATCCTCAGTCCTCCGCTGGGGCGTGCCAGATGCCCGTCGTTGGTTTAGCACGTAAATCCCCCAAATTTGACTTTTTTTTTCAGAAGCGCGCAATTGAGGATTAGAAGAAATGCGTTCGGACCGGTGTAGTAGGTTTTTTACGACAGCCCTTTTATGTTCGACAGAATGATGCGAGTTAAAGCTTAAGAGGTTGCCTGTATCACAGCTTTGCGGTACACTGTTGTATATAGCGACCGGTACTATTTCGGGGGTGTAGGCCCGTTTGTCATGTGCGCATTCGTCATAGGCCAACTGGTAATAGGCCCGTTCGTCACAGCGGAACATTCGTCATAGGGGAATTTGTCCCTAGGAACGTTTGTCACTGTGCGAACCGGATATTTGAATTTGCCCAGCATATATTCACCTGGCTGTGCATCCAATAACGATTAGTACGGTATATTTAAATTTACTAAAGAGAGGGAACATCCAAACAAGTCATCGTTGTACTTAGAAAAATATAGATTCATGGAGGGAAATACAAAAAAAAAAAATTAAAAAGCGATATGCCGAGCTGGCACCCTTAGGGTTTCTAGACGATTGCGACCATTGTAGCGGCTCACAATAATTTGAGGACGCCGGTTGCTGTCGTCGTGCTTCTTGGACACCCTTGAAGATGTCGTGCGGCCCTCTGCTTGAGCCAGCTTTATCTCTGTTAAGGATAAAAATAAAAAAAAACACACCCACTCCGGAGAAAGCTTTTTTGATTGGGCACCGTACTGAAATTTTGAGCCACAAATGCAAAAATGTGCTACAGAAAACGCCCAAGTTCTCAGAGGATTAGGTAAGTTCTTACGTGCTGTCCCCGGAGCCACGCTTCGATGCTTTTGTTCGTCCTTGTTGGCCTTTCTGCTAGTGTTGGTTCTCTGACTGACCAAACCCGAGGAGGGGAGGTGGCCGACGACAAGCCGTTTCGACGGGGTCTCCCGATATACACGTCCTCGAAGTAGTCCGCCACAAGTGAGGCATCGGTGGGGAAAACCTCGAGAATGTCGGCGATTGGCAAGAAGGCCAATGCTGGATGCATTCCCATTTGAAAATCAACAAGAAATAAAGTAACCAATTGGCTTACCTGAAGACAACAGTAAGACATATAAATAGAATGCCGCATACCAGAACAGCAAACTCGTCATCTGAATTGTAGCGACTCTGGTGACCACTGGAGCACACCTTCCTATACACCGACTGGGATAAGTAAAAAAAAGCATCCCTGTATCGTTGATGGCCGCTTTCTTGATGTCCGTGTAGCCACCTCAAGGCAGTTGAGCCCCATGTGACTCAGAACGACGTCGAAAAACCGTAAAACGAGCGAACATATCTCGAAGTTTTTGAACACATATCCAATAATAGGACCACCGAGCGTTCCGTTTCATACGTTTATCAGAGCTCTTGAATGCTCACCTTTTCAAGGTAGCTTCAGATTTGTTGGGCAGCAAGCTGTAAACAATTGACTTCACCACGCCGTTGTACAGTTAGTAGAACTGCGCCGGGGTCACTTTAAAGGTCCCGTCCGCGAACCACGTAGTCGCCTGAGCCAGACAGCTCAAGTTGCGCTCGGTAGCAAAGATCAGGATTCTTTCGCTGTCGCCCTCTCCGCTATCGTGGAGGAGAAAGGAGTCTCCTTTGGCAGTGGTCTGCATGCAGGTAAAACAGTCATTATTATCATAATATGTCGTGCACTTTGATTTTGCGCTGCAATACACTTTACTTTGAACTCTGTGGGCATTCGATCGTATATCGGCTCTGCAAGATGATACGCTGGACTCGAAATTCGACCGTTGCCTTTGCTTGCGGATGGTGCGCCGAAGTGTTGGCGGTGCGGGAATCTGCAAAGCAGTATCGTCACTGACACAGGCACCCGCAGCTAGAAGTATTTGGTGTGGTGCTAGACGGCCTTCCACTGGAATAAAGGACATTAGTGAGCTTGTTTTGGAAATATAAGAGCAGGAACAGATTTTGGTACATACCAGCTTTTTCCTTCATCTGATCACGAACCCAAGCACATTAATCTTGGTGTTGTCAAACGCATGCGTATGGCCTCCTGAATAAGAGATTACACGAGTCTTGGCGTGATCGGTGACTAATTTAGTTTTACAAACTTCTCTTCGCCGGCAGGCCCAATACAACGCAGTTTCGTAAACCTTAATGCAAGTGTAGGAATGTCCTTCGTGAAGAAGCATATCGCCACTTTTCTTAGTAGTAACTACCTCCATTTAGAAATCAAGAGTGATATTTTTATAATCGGATGGCAACCGGCATAATAAGCCCTGAAACGGGGCACAAAAAAAAAAGAATCGCGTTCGGTGGGCTTTTTTCTATTGTGAACTTTATGTTCTCGAAGTTCTTTTGTAAGAAAGGTGACCCCGATAAGGACAATATACAGGCCAAAATCTGCATGCTGCCTTAACTTGGGGTCATTGGGTCATAACTTGTTTCCCGTAGTCAACCTCACTGGCCTTGCACGGATTTAATTAAGTGGCCCCCTTTCGTAACTTTCCTAAGAAAACAAGATATAAAAAAAAAGTTTAACAATCTTGAAGTCATTGTGTGACAAACTGCCAGCGTAGCGAATCACCCTATGACCAATGTTCCGCTATGACGAACGGGCCTGTTACCAGTTGCCCTATGACGAATCGACATGTGACGAATGGGCCGTATCCCCTATTTCGGAACACATTAACATACAGAAAAGGCTTTGCACCGTTCTGTTCAACTTCATGTGTGAATTGGATTGATGATTCAATGCTGTTCAAAGCTAAATGAAAGTCACAAAAGGGACATGGCAAAGGCCACGCATGCGACAAGAGCGAAGACGGAACTCGTAGACCATTGTTGGAATACGGAACACAGTTTAGACTTTGAGAATGCGTCCACTCTGGCGCGTGAACAAAGGTGGGGTCCAAGCAGGTTCGCAGAATCATGGTTCATCCGAAGTGACTCATCAGCTTGTAACTCCAGCTGCGGCCCCCTCCTCAATGTGTATGCGGACTTGCTTAAATAGGACTGTTGAAGTTTCTTTCGCTCATTCCTGCATCAAGGTTTTACCGACGATGTTTCCCACATGGGAGACGAAACGTTTGATTAAATTGTTAATCTTGTTGAGTAAAGTCGGTGCAGTTTTTTTTTATCATTATGATTCCCGGCTTTTGGAATATTTTTGCAGCACATTTAATGAAGAAATGGATGCCGATAAACACTTGCCAAGGTTGACAAAAATAAACAGAAACATTCAATCAATAGTTATGATTGCACTAAGCGGTTGCTATGTGGATGTTTTTTTATGTTCGACAGCTCGGCAAAGTCTGCGGATCTGGTTATGCTTCCTGTACGAGACAGATCACGAAGCGGTTGCTGACTGACCAGTTGGGGCGAAAATTTTTGTGGGAAGGACGTAAGAGAAAGTTGACATTCAGGAACCTTCACCTTGCTGAGTGCATCATAAGTAAGTAATCTCTGGAACAGTAGTGCAGATCGCTTCACATGGAACCAGATTTATGGAATTGTTGGTGTCATACTTCTGTTGCTTTCTTTTATCAGATGCAGTGCAGAGCTGCCATAAATGTGAAGACTTCAAGGTAGAAACCATGGTCACGGATTAACTTCGCCACGCACCTGCCTGACATCAGTCATATCAAATGGTAAGCTGGTCTTATTAAGCTGATGTTAGCACAAAAATCAAACTTTTCTAGAACAGTAAGTATGGTGTGCAATTTCTTCAAAGCATAATTTCTATATAAGAGTATTTGAATGCTTTAAATATTAAAGCCAGAGACACCTTTTTTGGTTTAATTTGAAAGCAAATACTACAGGTGTGAACAGTATTGAATAATTTTAAATAAAAAAAATTTTTGTTTGGAGTGTTTCTTTAAGAGGAAAAATTTCATTATGTAATAGTACCTTATTATGGATTAAAAAGAATGCATAGACAACGAATTTTAAGAACACTGATATTTGATGTAAATCTAACAAACAAAAGTTGGCAATACAGTACACACATCCAGCATGAGTGTGCTTTAAAAACAAGGCATAAAATACTTGTGATTTATTTACATCAGTTCCAATTCTTGCATATTTGAGTCACTTAACTTTGAACTTCACTGTTTTATTAGTTTTGTTCCAAAGAATGGTAAACCACTGCTCACATATCTTTAACGTAACATTTTTTCGTTGCTTTTCAGGAACATTCTGCACCACAGGAGAAAGATGTGAACTGCCTTAAGTGGGCCTTGAATGCGCTGAGCTTTTTATTATGTTTATCAGACATTTTTTTAAAGCAAAGTATCCTGCATTGTTCAGTAAGTATACTTTATTTTGAAAACATTATGCTGTCTATGCAGCATTGTTCAAAAATTATACTTTATTTTAAAAGCATCAAGCACTGCTCGTCTGTCTAACAGTAACAATAAAGAGTTAATGGCGATTTGTTTGGCACTGCAACTTTTTCTACAGAACGGATGTGCATGCCTGACAGGCTGGGCAGGAATTTAGTGCGCTACTCACGTTCAAAGTTACGCTGCAAGACTGCAGCCGCATCTTTTGCCATGCAGTCGGTGCTACAGCTCTCATGGAATTCTGGTGTCCTCGTCACTAGAGCATATGACTACTGAAGCCTTAGACTTCAGTAGTCAATTCCTCAGGGCCGTTGGTCATAGCTTATGACAATGTTTGTGTCCAGTATTTCAGTTCTCCCGCATGTGGCGAGGTCCACCTCACTAAAACGAGTCAGCATCAGTAGTGTCGCCTTCCTTGTCAGTGTCGTCTGCATTGATCCTGTGGTAAAGCTTCTGAGCTTGATGGTGAAAAAAAAACTTCAATATAAAGAATGTCTGCTGCGGGCCTGATTGCTACATTATACATCTGTTATGCACCATTTGGGTATACATTGAGAGCATGCACGGGCCGTACAGCAAATCTGCCCTCTGAGCTCATGTTTTGTAAAGAATTGGACTCTTATCCGTTTAAATTTTTCTGTAGGACAGTTTACACGCTATATGCTAGCATAAAATGAAGGCTGCTTAGGCACTTCCTTGCCCTCCTGGCATAGGGCTGGTCGCTATACCAGGAAAGGTAATATTTCTGAGGTATGTACATGGTACATCCACAGGATCAGGCTGAACATCCTACAATGGTCCTGAATGTCCAGCTGCATCAACCAGATTGCGTTAGTGGTACGTTTTCTGGGGAACCATTTTGCACTGCACAGTAGATACTTTCAATGTTGGATGAATCGTAGCAGATATCCACTGGATATGTTAAATGTCCGAACAACATATCTCTCGGATGTTTAATAGACGGTTGCTGGTTGACTGGGTACCATCAAACCAATGTGCACCGGGGCACCTGTTGTCAATTACCGCTAATTGGTTTTCGCCCCAATCAACCCAATGTGCACAGGGGTGCCTGTCGTCAATTGCCGCTTATTTGTTTTTGCCCCATAAATACCATCAATCCAATGTGCACAGGGGGGGCCTGTTGCCAACAGCCGCTCATTAGTTTTTGCCCCATAAATACCATCAACCCAATGTGCACAGGAGCACCTGTTGCCAATTGCTGCTCATTGGTTTTTGCCCCATAAATACCCTCAATGCAATGTGCACTGGGGTACCTGTTGCCAATTGCTGCTCATTGGTTTTTGTTTCATAAATGCAATCAGCCCAATGTGAATTCCCTAAAGGATTACCAATTCAGCCCAATGTGAATTCCCTAAAGGATTACCAATTGGTGCACATAGGTTTTTGTTTCATAAATGCATATTGCTCAATGTGTCTGGACCTACAGTTGCACATTGGTTCAATGTGAATTTTGGCCTCATTTCACATCGCCCATTCCCAGCAGGGAACTCAACGTCGGTGGTTCCGGAGCGGTGCTGACGAGAGCCTCAGGCTGCAGCGCTTGCTGGACTTCTTCCCTGACAATCTCGGCGATTGAGGGCGAAGCTGGGCTTGCGGCGGCAGGTAGAAGTTTCTTAATCTCCTCCCGGACGACGTCCCGGATTATCTCGTGCATGTCCGTGGTGTTGCAGCCGGGAGATGAAAAGGAACCGACGCCGGGAACTCGGTGATAGTGGGCGGCTCGTGCTTGAAGGGCACGTTCGATGTTGGTGGCCTCCGTCATGATGCCTTCGACGGTGGTAGGCGGGCACCGCACAAGACCACCGAAAATGTTTTCCTTCACGCCGCGCATCAAGACTCTGAGCTTCTTTGCTTCGGATGCTTCAGGATCGGCGCGGTTGCTCAGTCGCAGGACATCTTCCACGAAGCTAACGACGCTCTCGTTAGGTCCCTGGATCCTCGCTTGAAGAAGCTCTTCTGCGCGTTCTCTTCGTTGTTGGTTCGTGAATGTTTTTCGCAACTCAGCCTTGAGTTGCTCCCAGGAAGTGATGGATGCTTCGTGGTTCTCGAACCAGATCCGGGCGGTTGCTTCCTAGGTGAAGTAAGCGTTCTGCAGGCACTGTTCCGGTGTCCACCTGTTATGACGGGCCACCCGTTCATACTGTTGGACCCAGTCGTCGATGTCTTCGTGGCTTTCGCCGTGGAAGGGAGCCGGTGTCCGAGGAGCGACGGGTAGGTAGACGACGGCAGGAGCGGCGGGGGTCTGCGACTGGTTGGCCATCGTCGTCTTCTTCGGCGTGGGCTTGTCCAGCAGCAAACCGTACTCAGGATCCTCTCCCTTGGTGCGGCGGCTGGTCCGAGCTTCAGGTTCCGCGCTGAGTGGTCTTCTCACCGAGCCGGGAAACGGACTTGCACTGCGGGCCCTGGGAGGGGAACGCTGTACGGGCATGCGGTACCCAGCACCTCCACTAAAATGTCACGGGTGGTGACCAAAAGCACAACGAATAAACAGAAAGAAATAAACGTTTAATGTGGCGAACTTGTGCCAAAAATAAACGGATACAAAAGATAATAAGAGAGCGTCGCGGGCGTCGGAGGCGGCGGAGCGGCAGAGTCGAACGCTGGGGCGAATCTGACTGCCGATCAACACGCGGAGTCCCTTATGTACGCGCGTTGGGTTCTGGAACAATCGGCCTAGAGTGCTCGGCGACTAGAACATTCGGAACTCGACCAGACGAGAATGTTCTCGAACTAACGAGAACGCAATGTTGAAAGTACAAATAAGAGAGCATTCCACTGACTGGAATCGAACCTAGACTTTCCTCGCGACAGTCAAGCACGGTGGTAACCACTCGGCCACGCGCGCTTTTTTTTTTTTCTTTATTGCCTATTTTTGACAAAAACAGAACAAAGCACTGTAAAATGATAAAAACTATGTTGGCCCTACAGCGGCCAACATGGCAAGGTTAAAATGAACTCAAATGCGTCACACTTTCCAGCACGGGTAGCCAGTCAGGTACACAACTTTGAGACTTCCACTTCTCTACAATTTGCAGCATCATTTCGCAAAAGTACTCGTGAGCCTGTTTTGCGTCAATTTCTGCATGGCGCACGGCCATGCGTGACTTCCAAATGCTATGAAGCCCCACAAGAAAAACGAGATTGAACGGTACGTTATCGTCGTTTTCAACGGCTAGGTACCGAATGCCATGTGGGTCCAAAGGTAAATCCTTCTTCAACGTACGTTGGAGAATGTCCCCCCCAAAAAAAAAAACACCGTCCCAGCACTCTAGAAACACGTGCTCTACCGTCTCCGGTTTCTTGCACAAAATACAATTTACCCCCCATGCAACAAACAAACCCTTCTCCTCCAACCATGTCTTAACCGGCAGCACTTCGGTATGCAGTTTAAAGAAAAAAGATTTCACACAAGGAGGAACTGCCATTCTCTTCACGCGCTGAAGCACGTTTTGACCTGGGCCCGCACTATACAGTGATCGGTATAAGGGAACAGGGAGAGCAACATCAACAAGATCCCTATACAATCTTTTCTGCGGCACTTCACTTAAATACTCCATTGAAAAACGAGTGCTCAAAAACTGTGTTGCTTGAGCAACCTCTCGCCAGTAACCACGGATTCCTCCGGCGGGGGGACACGCAGAAGAAACAACGAAATGTGGCAAAGCTTTGCCTAAGCGCAGCTGACACATAGTACGAAGAAAACCATCCTTCACATCACGAACAAAAATAAATCGGTTTACCACTTGCCTCAGGAATAAGTGCGCTAATGACAAGCCCCCGGATCCGACACGCCGAAAAAGATTCGTTCGGCTAGTCCGCTCCCAGGTCGATCCCCAAATAAAAACGGCAAAAACTCTATGTAATTTCTGTACGTTGACGCGCGAGCAGTGTAACACTTGAAGTACATACCACAATTTGCTGACAAAAAACAAATTGCACACCGTGGCACGTGCAAACATTGACAAATCCTTGCCCTTCCATCTCTCGGCTTTGTCGCGCAGTTCTACAGCCTGATTTCTCCAGTAAAGCTCACTATCCCGATAACTTTCTAAAGGTACACCTAGGTATTTCGGAGGCGTTGTTACCCACTTCATGTTTTCAAATGCACTGGGTGCCGAGTCCCATTCACCATGCCAGAGGCCAAGGCATTTCTGCCAGTTTACCGAACTACCACTATATTTGCAGAAAAGTTCAATAGCTTTTACTGACTCACTTACGCTGTCTTTATCTACACAAAAAATGGCAATGTCGTCAGCATATGACAATACGCGAACTTCACTCGACAGT